TTAAATAGGTAGGTGATCATTGTAATAATCATAACTAATCATTTAGAGCTATTCCTATGTCCCAAGCAGTGTTCAAAGTATTTCACATTTTTAAAAATTATTTCATGTCAGTTCCACAAGGGCTAGAATCTTCAGCTGCTCTGTTCCTGGCTGTATCCCGGGAATCACGCCTGGAATCGTCCTCGGCCCCTACTCGGCACTCAATCAGCACCCGATGAATGAATCCAAGTGGATCCTCAAGGGCCCTTGCGCAGAGGTGCAGTTCCGTCCCTCGCACAAGCACGCCCTGCGTAAAGGCGGAGAGTCACATCCTGACGTCTTTCTGAGCCTCACTCACACTGTCAGGCAGCAGGCTTCTGCAGGGACAGGGACCTGGACCTCCAGGGGCAGTCAGTCCTACGAATGTTTGGAGCGCTGTCATTTGAGAAATGTTGAAGTTCAGATTTCACCTTCTCACAGTCTGAAGGTTTTTATTCTTTTGATGATGCACCATTCCTTCATTCATTCATTCATTCAGCAAATATTTACTGAACACTTAAGCATACTCCATGTTGTTCTAGACGCGGAGGATATACAATCAAATGCAAAAATGCTGTACCTGCCCACGCAGAGGGAGATAAACCAACCACATCATTTCAGGTAGTGACAAGTGCATGAAGACAATAAAAGAGGCGATGGGACAGAACATAATGGGGAAAGGTGCATCACTTTATATTTGGGGACGGGGAGGCTGAGGAGGTAACCTCTGTGCCAAGGCCTGAGTGACAGGACAGAGCCAGTGCTGAGAAGGGCGGAATGTCGCAGGTGGGAGGAGCAGCGGGTGCCAAGGTCCTGGGGTGCCACCGTGCGTGCTGTGTTCTAGGAGCAGTAAGAAGAATACCGGGGCTGGTCATGGGGAGCAGAGGACATGGACGGGAGACGACATGAGCGGTGGGGGGCTAGGTCATGGAGGGCCTCATCGGTCACAGTAGCAGCCAAAAGATGTGTGCCCAGATGTCCCCTGAAAAGTGAACCTGCCAGAAGAACTATGCAGTTAGGTGGCAGCCCCTAGCAGGAGCTCCTGCGGGATCAGCCAGTGTGCAGAAGGAGGGCCCCGCCTTCCTGGGCAGCCCCAGCCAATGACTGAACAGGGTGGGGAGACGCAGGCTGGAGAAATTGGCTCAATGCGCGGCTGCGCCCAGGAGCGATCTTTGCTGTCGAGACTCCCATTGGACTGGCCTGGCCAGCACTGCGTCGGTTCTCCGGGGACACAGAACTCATAACAGGAGGTGGATGTCTATACGTGTATATCTGTGCATCTATTCCTACGGACAGACAGGTGTATGTGAATAAAGAAGCTTTATTCTGAGGCGCTGGCTCATGTGATTACGGAGTCTGAAATGGCTCCCCACCTGCCACCCGCTAGTGGGAGATCCAGCAAAGCCGCTGGTGTAGAGTCTCGGCTGGTCCCCAGGCCTTTCTCCACCTTTCCGTTCCATTCCACCCCTCCACGACTGGGTGAGGCCCAGCCACGTGGGGGAGGGCCATCTACTTTACTCGGTCCGCCAATAGGAATGCTAGTCTGTTCCAGAAGCACCTGCTCAATAATGTTTAACCAGGTCCCCAGGCACTCGATGGCCCTGTCAAGTGACCGTGAAATGAACCACCACAAGCACTGGTCTCCAAGGCATTTCCGCCCCGATGTGACTACCTTTCCCAGGTGTCGGGCCTGTGTGGCCGCCTGGAGGCTGCGACGACCGCAGCCTTCCAGTCCCGCGCCCCTGCAGTTCTCACAGGTGTTGCCGCCAACGACGCTTGCATTTCTAATTACACGTGGCTTCCGGCTCCGAGAGGAGCCACCCTGACAGGGGTCCTGGGAGGGGTCTGAGCAAGCGGGTGACCGCATGGGGGCTGGGGGCTGGGGACTGGGTTAGGGATGGTGTTGTCTAAGCAGAGATGTCTGTACCGCATTGTGTCCCCACGAAGGAGGAATAAATGGGTTCAGGAATCAAGGGGCAGAGGTAGAAGTGTCCCACTTATTATCACCCCTGATGGCCCACTGGGGACTGTGCTCTTCCCCTTCCTGGACTCAAGGGAGGGTACTCTTTCTATGGCCACAGAAAGGGTTCCGGGGAACTACCAGCCAGGGCTGCCACCTGGGCACTTTGGACTCCTTGTGTTCAGCAGGCAGACAAGGAGTCTTCAACTTGGCAGGAGAATTGACCCTGGTCAGCAGGAGAAGGGTGAGGTGTGAGGCATCTTCTCAGAACGGTATAAGGGCACCGCCTTTCGGTGACAGCGGAAGTCACCAGATCCCACACCACCTGTCCCTGTGTCACCTGTCTCACCTCCTTCTGTTTTCTCTCTCCCCCCTGCTCACTCTCCTGTAGCCACACTGGTGTTTTGGGAACACACAAGTCACTGTCAGGCGTGGGGTCTTTCTTCTGGCTTTCCTTGGATAGGAGAGGTAAGAAGATCAGCAGGGGGACCTCAAATGGGAGGGGGATGGTGGGGAAAATTCTGCATTAGTTGGGCCCTAATTTGTGTTGAGTTGGGTGCTGAGCTGTACCTTTCATTCCTACCACAGGCCTCCTCGCTTAGGTATTTCTCATCGATTTTTTCCTCGTACGCACTGACTAGTGACCCATGAGAATCTATGCAGGGGACTGAGAGAGAAGGCTGAGGCTTCCTGGAGCATTGGCAGCAAGTGCTAAGGACAGCAAGCATTTTTGAGGTATTGTGAAATGCTAAGCCCTGTACAGACTTTATCTCATTTAATCCTCATGAAATCCCTAGGAAGGTGCTATTATCATCTCCACGTCACACACGAAGAAACAGAGGCTCCGAAGGTGAAGTAACATGCCCAGGTCATACCTCCTGTGAGTGGCCGGATTTTAGCACAGCCCTTTCTGTATTATTTTCTCAATGATTTGCTTCCCGTTAGGGGAAAGAGATCATGATTACTGCCATTCATTCATTCACCCATTCATTCGGTCATCACGCACTGAGTGTTGATCACGTCTCAGGTCTCGACCTGAGTTTGCTGATTTGGGGTGGACAAATGGACAGGGGCCTTGGGTTCACGGAGCTTATTGTCAGACAGGGTAGCAGGACCACGCATCAGAAGAGTTCGGGTCTCGGAGGGGAGCAGACACAGCAGGTGCTGACACGGAACTCTTGCAGAGACTAACAAAGATTATCCTTGACCTAGACCAGGGGTGTCAAACTCATTTTCACCTGGGACCACGTCAGCCTCGTGGCTGCCTTCAAAGGGCTGAATGTAATTTTAGAACTGCATAAATGTAACTATTCCTTAACAGTTAAGCGAGAGCTGGGTGCTGCTGCCGGGTAGAAACAAGGTGCTGGGCCGGATAAAACAAGGTGGAGGGCGGAATTCGGCCCTTGGGCCTTGTGTTTGCTGCCTGTTCCCCAGACCCTAGAATCTCCAGTAAATGTGTAAAACCTGGGTTAAAGCATTGACCTTTTAGCCTCATCAATTGTAAAGTGAGTAAGGTAATTACAGGTTTTTTGCCAAGCAGCTGTGATCTCAAATGAGAAAACATGTGAAAGTTCTTGGCAAACTGTGAAATAGTCGATATGGAGGAAATGTTTAAAATTTTTTTCATTTTTTAAAAAATTCAAGTATAATTGAGTTATAATATTATATGAGACTTAGGTGTAGAAAATCATGACTATATTTATTTGTATGTATTGCAAAGTGATCACCACCATATTTTTCTTTACATTAAAAACTCAAACATAAACTAGAGAGAATAGTACAATAAACACTCAAATACCCATAAACGAGCTCCAAGAATGATCAACTGATGGTCAATTGTATATCATTTTCAGCCAATCCCCCATGTCACCCATATTTTAGGAAGCAAATCCTTGAGAGCATATATTTTTATCCATACACACACATATAATTTAATTATATATATAATTTAATTATATATTTATATAAATTAATATATAATTATAATATATATATTAATTAATTATATATAATTTAATTCCTATATCTCTAAGAAAGATTCTTTTTAAAAAACCACAAATGACACAATCACTCTAAAAAACAAAATAGACAGTAATTCCTCAATTTTATTGAATATCTTAATTTGAATCAGTGGTCACATTTCCCTGATTATCCTAAAAATGTTGAGGTCAGTAGGTTTGAATCAGTGTTAAATAAGGTTCATATGTTGCAGGTGACTGAGATGTTTTTAATCTATACATTTCCGCCTTCATCTCTTTGCTGTCATCTTGCTTTCTTCCCCCTGAAGAAACTGGATTCTATAAAGCGGCCGTTCTCAGACTGCAGTGCCCACCGGTGTGATTAGTCACCTGGAGAACTTGATGAGGGACCCGTCCCGGGGATTCTGATGGGGAATTGCGTTTCTAACAAGCTCCCATGGGCTCCAGCTGGTCTGGAAGCACGCCTTGCAGGCCCCCGTCCTCACGTCCCCCAGTCTGGATTCCTCAAACTGGATCCCTCGGTGACATGCCCTTCAACACGGTCATCTTCCATGCTCCTGCTCAGGAAGGTCATTTAATTGCCAACAGTACGCATGATGGTTACAGCTCAGGGCTTGGAGTTTTATGTTAGAGACACCGAGACCCAGTGCGGCGTGGTTTAAACCTCATTTTTGATACTTCTTTGCCATGTGACCTTGGGCAAGTCACTTAATTGCTCTGTGTACCCAAGATGTCAGGGTCGTCGTGGGGATTACACGCTTTTTCAAAAAATGAAGGGCTTACTTGGCATGGTGCCTGGCACATAGCAAATGCTAAATAAAAGGGATGGCAATGTTTTCAACCAAGAAATAACATGAGCTCATAGTCTGTGGAAAGTCAGGAGTTTGTAGAGTTTTGTCAGGTGGTTGACAGAACTCGGGACGAGGACAGCCAAAAAGAAGTCCCTGGGGAGAGGCAGAGAGAGGGTGAGAAAGTCACGTCCAAGGCGTGTCCACTCGCGACTCGGCCCCTTTAAGGAGGGCGGGGCCACGTGACCCATAAGGTCACATGGCCCGCGGGACAAGATGGCTGCGCCCGCGTTGGGGTCGCTGGGTGGGCGCCGCGCCGCGCTGGCGCTGCTAGTCTTGCTGCCGCAGCTCGTGCCGCGGGGCGGGGCGGCGGCGGGCGAAGAGGCCGGCGCGGGCGCGGGCTCCTGCGGCTGCGGCGCCCCCCAGCGGCCCGGGGCCCCCAGCAGCTCCGCGGCGGCGGCGCACCGGTACTCGCGGGAGGCGAACGCCCCGGGCCCGAGCCCCGGGCAGCGGCCGCAAGTGCCCGCCAAGGTGCGCTCTCGGTCCCCGGGAGGCGGTGTGGGGAGGGGGGCGCCCGGCGGTGCTGCAGGGCCGGCCTGGTCCGGGTGACAACCCGGAAGGCAGGTCACGGTGACAACCACACCCCAGGGCGCGCACCAGCTGATCCGGCCCGAGGACGAGTCCTCCCTCCCCGGTCCCCCGGGTCTGGGGCGCGGCGTCCTTCTGAGCGCTGGGAAGTTTGCCTGCAGGACAGTCGTGCCCCATTCTTGCCCCTTACCTTCCACTTCCTCCCCCTTCACCCTATGCTGTTAATGAATTCTCAGACTTTCAAGTCACGTGGGTGGGGCTTTAAACCAGCGCTCCGCGTCTCTGCCACTCTCGCGTGCTTATCGGGAGCCTAGAAGACTGCGCTTCTGGAGGGCAAGGACGTGTCGCGTGCTCCTGTGCTCCCTGGCGCTGTAGCACAGGGGCAGGGTTCCGTCAATGGCAGGGGCTTTCTCACTGTTCCTGATGGGTGACTTGCGCAGGGCCCGCACGTGTTAGGTGCTAGGAGACAGAAATGACATTAACGACGATCGCTTCCTTCCTGCCATCTGCCAGGTACTTAGTGCAACAGCAACGTTGTGGAGGCAGCTTCCGGGACTGGCAAGTGGTCCTCTGACTCCCGAAGAAGGGCGCCTGCCTGTGTTTACCCAGGGCCACACCCTTTCTCCGTTCTCCATCCCACTGTTCTTTCCTCTGGGCTCATTGGACCGATTTTCAGGCCTTACCCGACGGTCTCCCCTTCCTGCTACAGCAGCGGGGGCTTACTCTGAGCTAACAGTTAGTAATTCAACGCGCTTGTTTGTTCTTGTCTCTCCCCAGCCAGGCAGTGAGGGCGCTGGGGTCAGGACCGTATTTGTGTCCCAGGTATAGAGTGTTAGGAGGCTGGTAGCTTCTGCTTGTTTCCCGTCCCGTATATTTATTGGCCTTTTAAGTTTTTCTTCCCGTTCCTCAGAGGATGATCTGCTTTGTTAGTGTGTAGCTTTTGTGGGGTGGGGAGCCCTGGCTCCTGCCCAGTGTGTGGCCATAATTGATTTCAGTTCCTCTCTCGCTTGCATGCTACGTAATGACCGGTTTCTCCCTCCTAAGGAAGAAGCCCTGTGCCTGTCTGAGGCTGTCTTATTTGTAGGTGCATGTCGGTCTGCATCAAAATTTCACTCGGAATCTTCTGGCCAGCACTGAACATTGCTCATTGGAGTGCCCCATCTTCCTGTTGGTTCCACATTTATATGCTACACATCTCTCATCTCTTTAGAGTGGTTTCGTGTCCCGGCTGGGTATCGCGTGGGTCGTCTTTGGCTACTTGTTACGTTCACTTTCTGTGCTCTTTGCGGGCGTCTCAAGCTGTTAGTGTACTGGCGGTTGCTGAGAACACAGTGTGCGAGGCTTCAAGGACTTGTGACCTAACAACTGTACCTGAAGCAGCCTCGTCATCAGGGCAGGGCTCCGCAGGTGGCGGTGCTTTGTCTCCGTTTCCCTCGGGTTCAGATACTCTAGTTCATGTGCAGATGACGTGGGTCTCCTTCCGACTCTTAGCCATTTTTTCTAAATTCAGAAAGTGCAGCGTTGTGGGGCAGGTGCTTGGTTGTCTTGATGGCCTTTTTTTCTTTTCTTTTTTTTTTTTTAAGACTTTTTTGGAGCAGTTTTAGGTTCACAACAAAATCGAAAGGAAGGCACAGCAATTTCCCCACATACACCCTGTCCCCACACATGCTCCCCTCCCCCACGGTCAGCATCCCCCACCGGAATGGTGCATGTCACCACTGATGAACCTACGGTGACACGTCGTAATCCCCCAAGGTCCACAGTTGTCTGTGGGGCTCACTCTTGGCGTCTCACATTCGCTGGGTTTGGGCGACATGTATCGGTCATCGTAGTGTCCTGCAGAGTCTCTCCGTGAACCCGCCCAGTTACCCCTCCTTCTTCCCCCCACTGGCAACCAGGTGGGTCTCTCTGTCGCCATTGTTCCGCCTGTTCCGGGCTGCTGTGTGATGGGGATCACAGGGTGCAGCCTTTTCACGTTGGTTTCTCTCACTCAGTAACACACATGTAAAGTTCCTCCATGTCTTGTCAAACCTTGTTCGCGCATTTCTTTTCAGTGCTGAAGAATATTCCATTGCATCGTGCAGCACAGTTTATTCATTCACTCACTGAAGGCATCTTGCTTCTGACTTTTGCCAGTTATGAATAAAGCTGCTGTACACATTTGTGCGCAGGTTTCTGTGTGGGCAGAAGTTTTCAGCTCCGTAGGGTAAATGCCAAGGAGCCTGGTTGCTGGATCAAATGGCAGGAGCGCGCTTAATTGGCTAAGGAGCTGCTGACCCGACTCTCGAAGGGGCTGAGTGGGCTGCGTTCCAAGAGCAGGCTGCGCTCCGAGAGCCACCGGTGAGAGCCTGGTGCGTCTCACCTCGCTGCGTTGGGCGGCGTCAGCGCTCCAGGTTCAGCACTGCTAGGAGGTGGGGAGTGATGCGTCATTGTTTGGATTTGGTTTTGTTTTGTTTTCTTTTTGCTTCACATATGATGTGGAGGTCCTTTGCCATATGCAAGGTGAGGTGTTTATTAAGGTCCTTGGCCCTTTTAAAATTGGATCACTTGTTTTCTTATGATTGCGTTTTAAGAGTTCTTCGTGCATTTTGGGTAACAGCCCTTTATCGGGTGTGACTTTTGCAAATGTTTTTTTCCCCAGTCTGTGACTCGTCTCCTCACTCTCTTGTGGTCATTTTTCAAAGAGAAGTTTTAAATCTGAATGAAGTCCAGCTGAGCGATTTCCTTCACGGGTGGTGCCTTGGATGCATTCCCTAGAGTGGCGCCATACCCGAAGTCTCCCAGGTTTCCTCCCGTGGTGTGTTCTGGGTCTTTGCAGTTCTGTGCTGTGTGTTCAGGTCTGTGAGCTAACCTTTGTGGAGGGCGTCAGGGCTGTGTCTAGATCCACGTTTCTGCGTGTGGACGCCCACCAGGTGTCCCGGCACCCGTGGTTGAAGAGACTGTCCTTGCTCCCTCGTGTTGCCCATTCGCTGTTGTCCTTGTTTTGTCAAAGATCAACCAACTGTCCTCCTGCGGGCCCTTCTGGGCCCTCGGTTCTGTTCTGTCGATCTCCGTTCTTTCTCCCACACCGGGCTGTTTTGATTACAGCAGTTTTGCGGTGGGTCTTGAAGCTGGGTAGCGTTGGTCCTCCGACTTTCCTGCTCTTCTTCCTCCATGCTGTGTGGGCTCTTCTGGGTCTTTGCCTCCTTGTAAACTTCAGAGTTGGTTTGTTGGTAACCATACAGTAACTTTCTGGGATTTTAGTTGGGGTTGTATTGAATTTATGTTTTCTTTGTTTTCTGTTTATTTAGTTTAATTCAACAGATGTGTATTTGGCATAGTCCTAGGTCCTGGGCATAAAGGCAATGAAAAGCCCCTGCTCTGCCCTCCAGGCCCCCACCCTCTGGTGGACCGGTTCCCCCACTCCCCCCACTCTCGCCCCCAGCTGAGAAGGAGACGGGGTGGGCCCAAAGCAGGTGCAGGCATACGGTGTGCTCTGGCCAGCGGAGGTGAGTGTGGGAGTGTGGTTTGAGAGAGGGAGAGAGAGAGATTGATTTGTCATACTTTTAATGTAACACTTTTCAGGTGTGTCTCTTTTTGGTAGGCTAATTTACTTAATGAGCTTTTGGCAAGTTGAGGGACACAGGAAATAAATAGACTGTGCTCCCCCGTCAGGGGATTTCCGGATGGACTGCAGAGTCAGGGCAGCGCCAGTTGCCTGGGAAACTGTGGGGATTTTCAAATTTTAATTAAGTTCCCTGTGGTTAAAAAGTATACAGTTCCCTTTGAGAAAATGATCCTAACAAATTTCTACACAGCTTATTTTGTGACAAGGCATCAGAATGTTTTAATCTCCATGTATTTTTCTAAACAGTTGTTCGAAGGGCATTCGGCTCGTGATGGTGCCGCTGTATATGGAGTCCCCGTGTGTTTGGCTGAGCGCCGCCCTGACTTCCTGTCCCAGGCGTCAGCACGGACCGAACACCCTCTCTCGGTGAAACCCCTCCACCAGGAGGAAGAACTGGCTTTGCCGCCCCGCACACCCCGCGGTGTCTGGTTGGCGTGTGACGGCACCTCGAGTCTGTGCTGTGGTGTCTGTGTGGCTGTGTGACATCTTCTTCTGCAGCTGGGGGGCGTTTTTAGACCTGTTTTCATCTCCCCACCCTCCAAGCGCCTTACACTTTTAGGCATGCCGTAACAATCCTTGAATGATCTGGTACCCACTTTTCAGAGAAACCTTTGCAACCTCTTCTTTTGCTGTAGCTCACCCTCCCAAGATTCCAGTGAGAGATGATTCCCCCTTCACTTAGAGGCCACTGCGGCTTCCTGGGATTGGAGATCCCAGGGTTTCAGGAGGGTGTAAAACCATTCCGGTGCAGTGAGAGTCTGTGCAGGCGGGGAGTGCTGGAGGAGGGGAGCCTGCGTGGGCAGGTGGGCCGCGGCTCCGGGCGTGGAGACTGCTGTCTCCCGAGCCTCCAGTGTTTAGGTGCGGGTCTGAGGAGGGAAGGACAGGACAGGGACAGGAGCTACATGAGAGAGTCACAGATCAACTCTCTCCATTTCTGTGCCCGAGACAGAAATCTCAGGAGCAAGTGCAAGGAAAGACAGAACGACTCTGCAGACACAATGGTGGCAGCGGAGGGCACCCTTGGGGGCTCCGGTTGGTGGAGTTCGGGGGTGGATCTGGCCGCAGGCAGGCACGGCTGGGGGCGGGGCTGGGGTGTTCGGCCTCCCTGGGCTCTCCTCCGCGCTGGCTTTGTTTTCAGGTCGAGCCCCTCCTGCTGGTGAAACAGCCGGAAGGGAGAGGGGGCCCCTTCCCCGGTAGCACCGGCAGAGCTGCTGAGACCCCCCTCGATCGGGCTGTGGGCCTGGCCCCGTCGCAGCTCGGTGAGGAGGACGCCCCGTGGGCCAGGCCTGCGTCCCGCGGGGTGGCCTGCAGCCGCCCGCCGGAGCTGAGAGCCGCAGTGGGAGACAGGGTTCCCGAGGGGTGTCAGGGGCTGCGTGAAGGAACCAGGGGGGCAGGAGCCGGGTGGGGGGAAGGAACGGGTGCCCACCGCGCTTGGCCGGAGCGCGTGGCCCAAACTCGGCTGCTGCTATTCCTGACGCGCCCCAGCCTCTGGCTTCAGCGGCAGAAACTGGGGCGGCAGGGAGCGGGGTCAGCTCCCTCTGGGGAGGAGAGGCCCCTCTGGGTCTGGGCAGACTCCAGGGCAGACCTGGTGCCATGGGAGAGCGTGGCTGCCTGGCGCTCCGGGTGCACCGGGAGGACGCTCTGCGTCTGTGGCACAGAGCGCTTCGTCGGCGTGCCCTGGGGATCGCGGCCGCTCGGCACATCAGGCTATTTTTATCCGTATCCAGATATGGGTATCTGTTCCAGAATGGGAACGCGGCCTGGTGGGGGCCGGCGGCCTCTGACGGGAGGGGGGCTGCAGGAAGGAGGAACGAGGCCAGGAGTCCACAGCGGGAGTCGTGCCGGGCTCTCGAGCACGCGGGCGCTCGCCTCGCAGGGGGGGAGGGCGGAAACGAGGTGGCCGTCCGGCTTCCGCAGGGACAGTGGGCAGGGCCACCGCGGGCTCGTCTGTGCGCCGAGGGACAGACGGCTGTCCCTGGTAGGACCTGCCTGTCTGCGGTGGGAAGCTTTTTTCCCCCTCAAGCCCTCTGTGAAACCTTCCATCATCAGATCATTTAGATAATCACTGTAGCCGCACGGAAGCTCTGGTCCGAAGCCGTGTGTCTGTGGGTTGCCCTGCAGACTGTGCGCAGCCCTGACCTCTGTTCCGAGGATGGAGGGTCCTGGGTCCGGGATGTCTGCGGAGGTGGCGCGCAGGCTGGGTGAGCCCGGTGTGGGCTGCGCGAGGGGCCTGGCGGACACGCCCCCTGTGCAGATTGGCTGTCGTGTCTGGGGCGGTAATGCGGGAGAAACGGAATTTTCACATCATCATTTTGAATCATTCAGATGATGAAGTCTTTGTTATATTCACGATCTCTCTTGGTCAATCAACCAAGAGGGGTTTTTTGTTTTGTTTTGTTCTGGTTTTTAGTGTCTGCCATGGACTGTGTCCCGCCACAGGTGCTGAGAGGGAGCCGTGAAAGCTGCAGTTCTGGTTCCCAGGGAGCCAGGGCGCTAGGGAGGGTGAAAACACGTTGCTAAAGTACCGTGTACTTGTCGCTTGTTGGGACACATGGAGGGTTTTTCAGAGGAGCCCCCGGGAGGGGCCCAAGTCCCAGCCGGGAGGGAGGCACCCGTGTTCACAGACGCTGGTGCAGAGAGACGGGGCGCAGCTGCCTTTCTTTGGGTGTGCCGGTGAGAAATCAGGGGTGACGATTGTGTTTGTCTTGCCCCAAGGGGCGGTGGGGGTGCTCGGGGCGTTTAGGTGGGATGGTACAGATGGTATGACCACAGTGACCCTTAATGTATTGTTGCTTTTTTTTAAAAAACTTAATTTTTCTTAAAGATTTTATTTATTTGTTTTAGAGAGGGAAGGGAGAGAAAAGAGAGAGAGAGAGAGAAACATCAATGTGTGATTGCTGGGGGTCATGGCCTGCAACCCAGGCATGTGCCCTGACTGGGAATCGAACCTGCGACACTTTGGTTCGCAGCCCGCGCTCAATCCACTGAGCTATGCTAGGCAGGGCTGATACTTCTGATTTCTAACTACTAGAACACCATGCATCTAGGCCATAACTCAGAGTTATGCCCTGCAAAGTGGCGAGTCCTCCCTGCCCCTGCGCCCGGCCGTCGGCAGGCTGGCGGCTGTCGCCAGGCCGGCTTCCACGACACGCTCTCATGTGTCCTGTAGAGTTTCCACCAAAGACACCCCTTTTCTAAAGAATCTGCACTTCCTTTGGTGACCGGTCCCTCACTCCCTGTGGGAGGACGCGACCCCCTGTCCGGGGAGTCCCGTGGGGGTTGGCCCCCTCCTGGGTGCTGGCCGTGTGCTGGGCGCTGCGCCCGTCCCGCGGGTCACCCTGACGGCCGGACGCCCGCGTGTGCCCTCTCACTGCAGATGGTCCCCATTCCCGCCGGCGTGTTCACCATGGGCACCGACGACCCCCAGATCAAGCAGGACGGGGAGGCGCCCGCGCGGAGAGTCACCCTGGACGCCTTTTACATGGACGCCTATGAAGTCAGCAACGCGGACTTCGAGAAGTTCGTGAACGCCACCGGCTACCTGACCGAGGTAACGGGTCAGGTTGGGGGGGCGGTGGGAGGGCCTGCTCTGCACCACCTCCGGCCGCACGCCTGTGCGTGCCGAGTCAGCACTTTGCACGCAGGGCGTCTCATTCGGGTCTCCCCGCCCCTCCGTGCGGCAGGCGGCGGTTCGGGCGGCAGACCGAGGCTCGGACAGGTGGCGTGCCCCGGGGCGCAGGGCTGCGGAGCGGGGAGCAGGGCGCGGGACCCCAGCCTGGCGGTGTGACCGGCCGTTCCGCTCTGCCGTGCTGGGGCTTTGATGGGCCCGACGGCGCCGCTGTCAGACGCAGAGACGCGGCTTCTCATTTTTTTGCTCCAGCGCCCGGGGGCGGGCAGTGCCAGTCCCCAGTGGCGGTCACTGACCCACGAGGCCCGGCTCTGGGCGGGGTGTTCGTCCTGCCCGGCCCTCCGTCGGGGGCGTCCCTGGCCCTCCCCTCCCCCCAAACCCAAAACGCCTTTTTTTTTTTTTTTTTTTTTAACGGGAAAAGTAGCCGAGAGGGAGTGCTGGGGGCAGACAGCCTTCAGACGGGGTGGGGTCTCGTGCTGTCACATTCCTCGGGGACTCCCTACGCTGTGCGAGTGGCTGTCTTTCTGTGCCTGTTTGTCCGGCCGCGAGCAGCGTTGTCCCTCTGCTTTCTGGTTCCTGAGGTAAGGACGCCCTCGGGTCGAGCTCGTCCGCAGTCTGGTTAAGTCAGCAGATGGCTTCTGAGAACAGAACTCAGACCAGGGTCCCTGCGAAGGCTGGGTGCACCGAGCACAGGGCCCCAGGGACGGGGGCGGGGAAAGCGCACCCAGGCTCTGCTGCCCTCTGACTGCGGTTCCACGCTCCCGCGGCAAGGCAGACAGGCAGCGCGGCAGCAAGGGGACCCGGGTCTCGTCACGGCAGAGCCAGGCACTCTGTCTGTCTCGCTGCTGCTGCTGCTGCTGCTGCTGCTGCCGATGCCGCGCCCCGCCCGCCTTGGCAGTGAGGAGGAGCTGGAGGCCTGCGCTAGCCGTGGGTCAGGTGTTGATGGTGAGCGCGCACACGCCGCTCCGGCTCACGCCGGTTTGACGTTTCCACGTTGCAGCCGCACCGATTTCATTTCCCTCTGGGAAAGGGGCCCTCTCCGCTGTGCCGTTCTGCCCGGGGGGTCCAGGGCACAGGGAGGGCAGGAGCCCCGTGCTGGGTGGGCGCGCCCTCTGTGCGCCCCCTCACGGCTCCTCTGTCCCTTTGCCGCCGCCCTCCGCGCTGCGCCGCTCTTGCTCCCCGAGCCCCTGCCCTGCTGCCCAGGCCTCCTTCCCCAGAAGACTCGCTGCTCTCTCCTCCGTGGGGCCCACGTTTCCCCCCTTCTTGGGACGTCCCGGCCCCTGCTGGTCCCTCGTCGTTGCACAGCTGGTCCCCTCCGTGTGTCATCTCGGCTCAAGTGTCCCTGTCACTCAGAAGCATCTGCTCGCACTGCCCGAGGGGCCTTTTCTCCACACTCTGTGCCTTACAGGGTCAGGTGAAGGGGTAGTTATTTTCTGTCTTAGTTTGCATTGGTCTTTGTGTGCCCTTGAGTGAGCACTGAGAGGACAGGGACCGTGTCTGTCTGGTACTGACCTTGTGTCCCCGTCCTTGAGCCCAAAGCTGCACGCGGTAGGACTTGGAAAGGTAGCGTTGAGTGAAAGTCCAGGCAGGCAGGTGTGGTGGGCCCGGGGACCCAGGAAGAGGAGCAAGGGGGCAGGGAAACAGTGACCCCACTCAGGAGGAGGTGTTTGGGGTGCTCGTGAGGCCTGAAACGCAGGGGCCCGGGAGGCAGGCAGTGCCCTGTGGGGACGGGCCTGGCCTGGAGGTGGAGACGGGGAGCCGGCGCACTGGCATTCGTTTTAGAGCCGTGAGGTGGGGAGGTTGTCCCGAGGGCCCTGTGGTGTCCCACGGGGTGGCCTCGTGGAGGTCTGCGGTAGAATCACCAGTGGGGCCGTTCTCGCGTGCGGGTCCCTGTCCTCGCCCCGACCGGGGGTGTCCGGAACCGGGGTGTGGGGGGCAGTGATCTGTGCTGGGGGCAGAGCCCCAGGGAGGGGGCCGTGTTTGGGGGCTGGAGGGGAAGCCTGCGCATCTCGGGAGGTGAGCAGCAGAGTCAGACATGGGGGAGTCAGCTGGGGCGCCCCGAGAGCCAGGTCTGCACCCCACAGAGAGCGGGGGCTGAGGTCCCGAGGGCCCGAGGGCCCGAGGCAGCGACGGTGAATGAAGATGACGGGAACGCAGGCGTCTGCCCGGGACGCGGCGTCGGTGAGCACAGTGGACACCTCCGTGGGGCTGGGCGGGCCACTGGCAGTGGGCAGTGCGGCTTAACTCCTTCAGCTCCGGGGCCAGGACGAGGGCAGCGGTCGGTCACGGAGTCGCACACGCAGAGATGCTGCCACGCGGCAGAGTCACCGCGGTGCTGGGGGGGTGTCTCTCCTTCCTTCTCAAAAACGACCGTCGTCCTGTCCGTAGGCGCATTGGCCAGACGTGTGGACGTGGTCCCTGTTGAGTGACCCTCCCTCCCTCCGCGGGAGCCGGACGCCGCCGAGTCGTTTCTGTGTCCTCCGGGTGGTCAGCAGAGGGGCGTGGGTGTCTCCGGGCAGGAGGAGTCGCTTTGACGGCGCAGAGACGGTGGCGCCTGCGGAGCATGGCCCCGCGGCCTTTTCTGGACGCTGCCCTTTTCCCTTGCAGGCTGAGAGGTTCGGCGACTCCTTTGTCTTCGAGGGCATGCTGAGCGAGCGGGTGAAGACCGGCATCCGGCAGGCAGTAAGTGGCGCCTGCGGGCTCTGCGGGCCCTCCGCCCCCACGGAAGGGGCCTGGGTGGGAAGCCTCAGGCTGGTGCCCCCGGCCCTCCCCCCAACTGCACTGTGGATGCGCCCAGAAGGACCCGAGGCCCCGGGTGGTGGCGGGCGTGCCAGGTCTGACTGAAGTGACCGCCCCGGGCATCTGGGTGACACCCCGTGGCGCAGAGCTGGGGGCGGGGCAGCCGGGCTCTAGACAGCCCTGGGTGTCTTTTGCTCATGGCCATGTCTAGAGTGGAGGGGTCACATGACCCTTTTTTAACCCCTGCCTGTAAAGTTGTGACGTCGTCAGGTGCGGGGTGGAGAGAGCGTCCTGCGTGATCATGAACTCCCGCGACACAGCGTTGTTCTTCCTGGGGAACCGACCACGGACCTGGCCCTCCCCGGGCGTGCCCGCTGTCGCGAGGGCGAGGGGCGGTCCTTGGACTGGGTGTGTCCTCAAGGTCGCCGTGACATCAGGGAGCTGCACCTCTCCAGCTCCTGCGTGGGAGCGGGCCTTGGGTGTCTGTGGAGATGGTTGGCAGGGCCGTGCACGTGTGGGTTTTCTCACGCATCCTGGGAGGCAGAGGAGACGAGACCCGGAGGGGGAGCGCGGGAGCTGGAAGGCCAGCGCTCACGAGACCGAGGCCGAGAGTGCCGGTGGGCGGGGCCGCAGCTGGGCGGGGCCGCAGCTGGGCGGGGCCGCAGCTGGGCGGGGCCGTAGCTGGGCGGGGCCGCAGAGGGTCAGCCACTCATGGGCGAGGATGGTGACTCGAGCACCAGAGACGGGAACCCAGCCCCGTCTTCCTGTGCGCATGCTCCGGCCTGAGCCCCAGAGCCCCCGAGCCGTCTCCCTGGACCGGGACCCCCTCTGGCCAGCAGCAGCGCCCAGGAACAACTGCATCCGGATGGTACAGGCTCTTTCTCTCCGGACGAACGCAGCAGAGTGTGGGGGGAGGGGCGGGGGGGCGGCGGCCAGGTGAACCCACACCTGCTCTCGAGTCACGCAGAGGGGAGTCTGGCCAGGCCCTCGTGTGCGCTGCAGAGAAGTGTCTGAAAGCGAGCCGGGGCTCCGTGTGAATGTCAGGGTTTGGTGACCCCGCTACAGGCTCCTGTTACGCGTCCCTTCTGTGATCTGACAGGTTGTTTTGAAGGGCTCTGAGTCAGATTGGCCTCCTGCCGTTGGGTCAGCGGCTCAGGACGCGGTCCCTCGCTGTCAGTGGGATGTGGGGTCCGCGCAGGGCCGGGCCCCAGCTCTGCGCGTGAGCTCTCAGGCCCAGGCCTCCCGCCGCTGAGAACCGCGGAGCACGCAGGGCAGGGGCAGGGGCGGAGGCGGAGCTCCGCTGGCCTGCGCCGTGGCCACCAGGACGAGGATGAGCAGCTGCCGCCGGCCGACCGACCGTGGTCGGCTCCTGGCTGCACTGCAAACCCTCTCAGTGGGCTTAGAAAGGGTGGGGATGAGTGAAATGGCTCTGCTGACGATGGCGGGGGTGGGGGGAGCTGAGGATCCGTTTTCGAAGTGCGCTCCAAGGCCTGACGCGCCCTCACCCCGCGTTCTAGCGTGGGGGACGCCGGGGGTCCCGGGACGTCGCGCAGGGAAATGGGTGTCATTCCCCCGTCGGGTGTCTCTTAGACCCCGGTTCAGTCGGGGCGGAAGTCTCCTTGGGGCCCCAGCATGTCATCGACACCTGGAAACACGTGTCAGATTAGTCCCCTTTTTAGCACGGAAAACAGGCCTCCGGACCCCCCGCCTGCAGAAGCCAGCTGGCGTTTCATAGTGTTGTTCACTCCCTTGTAATTATTTTAAATGTCATTATCTTATAATATCGCTTTCATGGGATTATCTTAAATGCTTTATTATAATGGTATCATCATGTTACAATTACATTAAATGATGATCACGGTAATGTTCTGTTTATGACAGTTTACACTAGTGATGTAAATCATCCTTAAAAAACCCCTTTTCATGGTAAAATAAAGCACAGGACACAGCAGTCCCACCGAGCGAATGTGCAGCTCACTGAGTTGTCCTGACTCGGACCTGCTGGCCGCCGTCTCCGAGGTCAGGACCGAGGTCAGGAGTCAGGGCCGCGCCCCCTGCCCCGGGTGCCCCGTCCAAGTGTCCCCGCCCTGTCCCCAGAGTAGCTTCTAAAGGCGACGCTTCCCCACGCGTCTTCCTGTGTGGGGTTGTCACCAGCGGCGTGTCCCGAGGCTTCCGTGGTCTCCTCCTGCCTGCTGAAAGGGAGTGGGTGTCTCTTCAGTCTCTTACCCTGCAGGTCCCCTCCCATCACTCAGCCCCCCTCCCCCCGTTTCCCCGAGAACGCTTTGTCCCTGGAAGACCCCGCGGCCTTGGCCGGCGGGCTCCTCACGCTGGGCACTCGGCCGCCTGCCCGTCACGGTGGGGTTCGCCTGCTCCCTCCGCGTCCCTGCACGCAGGCGGCCGGACCCACAGGCCTGGCCCCCGGCAGGCCCTCACGTTGGGCAGATCCGGCCCTAGCAGGTTCCCGGAGTCTGCCCCCCAGCTTTCTGGGGTGCCACCTGTCCCTCGCGCCCAGTGCCCGGATCCGCTCACTCACTGGGGGCTGGAGATGCGGGTCGTCAGTGGTCTCTCCCCTTATTAACAGACGAACTTTTATACAGACGTGGTTCCCTCCAGCTGCTGTCTCCTGGCCCGCGGGCACCGTTCCGTTCCATTCCGGCAGGAAGGACGGGGTCCGGCAGAAGGAGGGCCTGCCTGGGTGTGGTTGGGAGGGTGGTGGTACCGGTGTGATGACCGACAGTTTCGATGTGGACGGTTCACCTGAAGTGTCCTGTGCTGTGCTTGAGTGTGATGTTATGTTACAGAACGGCACGCCGGTGACTGTGTAATGAAACGGGCATTATTTGTGCCGGACCCTGTGTTCTCCAGCCTTTATGATAATGAGTTAGTTCCCTATACTCTCCAGAAGTGACCAATTAGATATATTTCAATAAACATTTTGTAGCCCTGGCTGGTGTGGCTCAGTGGATTGAGCACCGGCCTGCAAACCAAAGGGTTGCTGGTTTGATTCCCAGTCAGGGCACATGCCTGGGTTGTGGGCCAGGTCCCCAGCAGGGGGCGTGTGAGAGGCATGCGAACACTAATGTTTCTCTCCCTCTTTTTCTCCCTTTTCCTCTCTCTAAACATAAATAAATAGAATCTTGAAAAAACAAAGATAATTGTAGGTTCACGTGCAGTTTTGAGAAGTGACACAGCGACCACGTGCACCTTCCCCCGTCGCCTCCGATGCTGACGCCCAGTGCGCTGCAGTGGTTTCCCAGCCGGGAGGGGGGCCGCCGATGGGACCACTTACCTTTGTCTGGTTTCACAAGTTTTATGTGTGATTTGTATCGTCGCCATGTTTTTCAAAAATGTTACCTATTTATGGGTTTAAAAATACCTTATGGACTTTTGATGGTCAGATTTTGCTATTTCTGGGGGAGTGCCTCTTCAAGTTCTCGTGAGTCTTTTTTCCACTTTATTCACTTACTAATGATACTCATACACGGTTTTCCCCCCCAGTCTCCCGCGGCAACCGTTACCTTGTTTTCTGTGTCTGTGGGTCTGTTTCTGCTTTGTTCATTCAGTGGTTCTGTTTTCTCAGGCTCCGCATGTAAGCAGGCTCCTGTGGCATTTGTCCTTCGCCGTCTGACCTGCCTCACTGAGCACACTGCCCCGTAGTCCGTGTGATACCGTCCTGTCCGTGTGGTTGCAGATGGCCAGATGGCCTCCTCCTTGCGGCTGAGTGGTGTTTCGCCGTGCCGGTGTGTACCCCAGCTTCTTCCTCTGGCCGTCCGTGGGCGGGAGCCTGGGCCGCGCCCCAGCCTTGGCGGCTGCAGACCACGCTGTTGTGAGCATGGGGGCACACACGTATTTTAGAATGAGCGTTTGGATTTCTTTGGACACAAGTCCAGAAGCGGCATCACTGGCTCATGAGGCAGCTCTGTTTCCAATGTTCTCGGGGACCTGCACCCCATCTTCCATGGGGGCTGCAGCAGTTCACACCCCACAGGGCTCTCCCCGCCCACACCCTCGCCAGCGCTCGCTGTTCGTGGACTTTGATGACAGACGTTCTGCAGCTGTGAGCTCGGTCTGCACTTCACTGCAGAGTAACATTGTAGCACCTCAAGGAAGTCTAGACACCTCGTAGCCACCTGTGGGCTCCTCCCCCGCCCGCGGTGTTACAGTTGTTGCGGATGGTGCGTCTGCAGACACCGCAAAGGTCCCGGACGGCGTTGTTTGTTTTGCTCGTCTCCTTCATGCTTTCTTTATTTGTGATTTAAAGACGAAAACTGTTTCCTTACACTCACCGGCGCCATGGCTGTTGCTGTTGGTTCCCCAGGTCCCAGGCTGCCCTCTGGCACCCTTTCTGTTCCGCCCTCGACACCTGTCACCTCATGATCACTTCCTGAGGATTTGTCCAAAAGTGGAAGGACGCTGGGGGGTGTCACCTGCTGGAGCGTTCAGCTGTTGCAGCTGCAGGGCTCAGACCCGGCGTGACCCGCCGGCGTTGGGAAGCAGCCCTGCCCTGGCGCGAACGCGCTGGCCGGCATCGGGGTTCGGGTTGGGGGAGCGAGCCAGCGACTGGGGAGGGCGGTCCGGGCTGGCTGATGGGATCGGATGAGAAGAGCACGGTAACAGCTCCTGTCTCGAGTCTGCGCTTGAAAGGAGCCATTGTCTGCCTGGCTGCCGGCCAGAGCCAGCGTGCGGCGCGGGCCCAGGAAGCCAGAGCGCGATAACCCCGGACGGATGGCGAGAAGCCAGGAGGCCGGCGGAGCAGGGCCCGCTTGTCCCCGCCTGCTCCCGGTGAGCGCGCACAGCCCGCACCCGGCCCCGAGGCTCAGATCCGCACGACCTGCCCCGGCGGCCTCGAGTTCCTTCTCACGTCCCGGGTCTTCTGAGGTCGGACTCGGGTGAGAACTAACAGTGACTCTGACGCCCCTCCCTCCAGATGCCGGCGTGGGTGT